TCATATCTTGCCCTGTCCGATGTCTCCTTTCACCCACTTTTCCGTTGTCCGTCCCAGGGAGGAGGTCACATATAGTTCCTTATTCTATGTTCTTTTATTGCTTCCAAGAAAATATGGTTTGCCATGGATATACTGGGATATTTATCACTAAGAGGTGGTAGGTCTGCTTAATTATGAATGTCTGTTCTCAGAAATATTGAAATAACATGCTAAAATATAATTTCATGATTCAATTTCAACTTTTATTAAAATTAAATTAACATTAAAAAGCTATATGATATCTTATTACTTTATCTCTCTATATTTATTTTTAAATATGATTATTTAATAAATAGTTCTATTATTTGAAGTACAACAACAGAGTGGATTTAAGCTCTCTGCCACTTAAATTCCTTACCAGGAATTGCAGTTTTCCTTAATTGTTGCTCCCTCTTCATAATGCTGGCCATCTCTGAGACAACCTGCCAATATAACAGGAAAACCAATAAAAATGTAAAAAATTTGGTCATAAAGTTCATTAACACAAGAAGTAATAAAAATGTGTGCTTCATTTTTCAAATATTGAAAAATATTTTGGGCCAATCTCATAATGATTCACATTTGGTGTTTGTTGATGTTTAAATAACTAATTCTTCTGAGATTGTTCCATGAACTTTATCTTTATAAATTTATCATGATTCAACTGAGAGGATTTAGAAAAAATAAACACTAGATTACCAAGGAATTAATGACAAATTAGTCTTTAAGGATAATGAATATACCTTAAAATACATGCACTACAACGGGGTTTGAATCAATTTGTGACACTGCTCATTAAAAGAGTTAGTCAAGTAAAAAATCCAAAGTGAGTATAATTAATGGAATATCACCAAGTACGTGATCTAAACATGACATAAAGACATTCTTTGAAATTCACCTTAAAATTATGAATTCTGCTTTTTTCTTCAAGTTTGAGATCAGGAGGAGATTTCATGAAAACAATAAAATTATAGGCATCTTTATTTCAAACCCCAAAGCTTCTTAACTCATACATAAAATTGTTGTTAACTAGTTAAGAAGATCAGATAAATTGCTCAAAATAAACCAATGGTGAGTTATTATTACCCGACAGCCACCCATAAGATATTGTGAAAATAGTACCATAGTTATAAACTAAATTCCTTTAGAAAATTTAATTTGCACAAATTTAAAATTCACATCAAAGTAGCCAGAGACCCTACTTTAGTAGAGTCTGGTATAATCTTTTTGGAGAGAAGCATATACTTGATCAATCACACCTAATCCCTGACCACCGCCATCTGCTAGTTCGTTGACCACAGGCTTTCCAAGACTGTCATTCTTTAGGGAAACAAATTGCCACATCTTTCTGGCTGGTGGGTTTGAACTACTGATCATTTGGTTAATTGCTGAGTATTGTATAGCAACTTTCCGCTAAGGTCTTATGCTGTTCATTGATTGATCCATTAAATGTTATTTTTAAAATGCTCTCATTCTCCTTACTGTCTCCTAGTCTCAGAGGTCCCTTAAATTCATCGAACTATACATATATGTCATCTTAAGAATTAAAAAATAAGTATGAAATCTCCATAAATAGCTCCTTTCTTTGTTTTGTTTTGGCTGTGGCTGAAGAAAATTTCTAGTATTTGGAGAATTTAAAATATCAGCGATAGATGATAGTTTGAATTAGAGTTGAATGGATTTTCTAAATAACGTCTTTTGGCGTGGAAGATCTTAAAGATGGAATTCACGATACAGCTTGTGAACCAAACCAACCTCGTTGCCAACTGAGACAAGACTGACTCACAGTGACCCTATAGAACATGGTAAAACTGCCCCGGTCAGTTTCCCGGGCTATAACTGGTTATGATAGTAGAAAGTCTCATGTTTCTCCCAAAGAATTGGCTGATAGTTTTGAAACTGACCTTGTGGTTACCCACCCAACACATAACCACTACATCACCAGGGATCCTACCCTCCTGTGAACAAAACTAGCTAATTTGATTCCACATCATTCTATCAGTCTTAGTTCTCATTCGTTAAAAAAAAAAAAAGGTTGCATTTTATGAGGGCTATTTACTCTTTCATAGCCTTCTCAATCAGATTATAATGAAGGTAAATCAATCACAGTTCAGATGCTGCCATGCGTCCCAAGAGTACCAACAAAAGATGCGGCGAAGAGGTGCATAGCCCTCGGTAAACGTCAGCCTTAGGAGGTCTCAAGTCTCTGTTTCTAAGCTATTGCTATGTTCACCACTGCTGACAAGTTTCCTGGAAGGTTTTGGGCCGATATCATCTTTAGAGTGGCCTCTCAAGAAGGAGACGTCCTCTGACCCAGTGGCTGAAGATGGGAGTCTTAGAGATCAATCCTGGGGCATCAGCTTTGGGCTTTATGTCTCGAAAAGATCCATATAAAATGTGGGCTGTAAGAGTTGGGGGTGAAGAGTTAGCTAATCCATATAAATACAGCATTCTTCATTTCACCAATGAAGGTTGATTCAGGAGTATAATTTGACCAAGGCAAGCCCATTTTGGACATTCATTGTACTAATACTCAAAGGCGCTAGTGTTGATCAAAATGTGGATAATAAAAACACTCATAACAGCTGTCCTGCAGGCTGGCCTTTTGGAGTAAATGCTCCTGACTGACCCCTGGGGTGTAGACTCCTGATTAAAGCCTGTCCTAAAGTGCGTTATAAGTATCAGACCAGCACGGATATTTATAACATAGTGCCTATGATGAAGCACCTTAAAATAAATTACAGACATCATATCTTTTTTCACATCAATATGACCAAATAATTCACGCTTCACCTTATGATTTGTCTACTTTTGTTTTAGAGGCTGTTCCATAACAAAATCTTAAAAATCTCCCTGAACAGTAACTGTCATGACCCATCTATTTAGCAAGATTTTCTAAGCAATCAATCCGACTAACTCACTCCCAGGTGCTTCATACATACACATTTTCCTGAGAAGCAAAAGTCACCAAATTGCAATTCTCTCATTTCCCAGCCATCATAATTTTCAATTTACTGCCTAATTCCTCCTCTTGGGAGATTAACAACATCCTTTTATTTCAAACTGTGCTTCCTTTCTCTCTCTCACGCTCTCTCCTGTGGTATTGTTTTCTCTTCCTCTCTCAGATAGATGGATGTATTTTGGAGGTAGAGTCTCCTAAAAGATGCATCATGTTCTTCTCTTGCTTCCCAGGACTGCCCCACTCCTGAATCCTCCACTTCTTCACAGGCCGCAGAGGCACAGTTTCCTCTTCTGGACACCTGTCTGTTGACGTATTTTGAGCTCAGTCCTAAACCCCTTTTTCTTACCTATACCCATTTTCTACATCGGCTTCTTATTTAGTCTCCAGTCTTTTTAGAAATCATGAATGTTGATTTTTTCAAAATTCATACTCCAGCCCTTATTAACTCGGAACTTCTATAAACGATGGCTTATTGGACATCTCTTCTAGGATGACTAATTTTGATCTGACATAAATCTAAAATATGCAATATAAAACTCTGTTATATCTTGCCCGAGCCTGCTCCTTATTTCCCTATGGCTTCCTGCCTCCTCTACTGCTCAGGCAGGTCAGAAACAGGATAACCTTTTCCCCTGAGCATCCACAAGGACTTGTGTTACTTCTGTTCCTTTATCTGTGTAACTGGCTCAACAGACAAGAATGATGCTGAGTGGCCACTAAACAGAGAGCATTGGGGAGATGAGTACAGAAGATCAAAGGCATAAATCTGACTTGAACAGTTAAAACATTGTCAGTAGATGCCCCCTGAGGCATGCTGGACCTGATCTGGTTTCCAACATGTTCTGTATTTTCTGTTGGCATTGGATTGTTTGGTTTGGTTTTTGTGTGTTCATATTACGGTGAATCTTACAGGTACCATCTCATCGGAGGTCACATTCTTGAAGGTGTGTTGCATGTGTTTCCATTTTTCAGGAGATGGAACCCAGGATTGACGAACCTATAGGGACAGCAAGTAGAATAGGGGTTCCGGTGAGGTGGGGGAGGGGGAAGAAGGGTACAGTGGAGGATGACGTCATGGAGTCCACGTAGAAGAAGAATGGTTGGGAACAGTGTGATAGCAATTGTACAGGTCTGCTTGACATGATTGAAATATGGAACGATACGTTATATGTATTAAATCCCACCTAATAAGAAAAAGTGGAAAGAACCCAAAGTCTCAGAGAAGAAACCAGGCCACAAAGCTAGCGTGTGCATTACCCTGAGACCAGACTAAATTAGAGCTATAACACATGCCTCTTGGTGGAATAGGAGGGGGTGAGGGGGGGAAAGTATTCACATTCTTAAAATGCCCAGATTTAATTAATCAATTGAGACTAGAGGACTCCTTCAGATGACTGCCTCGGGGTACTCTTCAAACCATGAACCCAAAATAATCCCCGGAGTCAACTTTTGGTGAAATAACAGCTGGTCGTATGAAATAAAAGCACATCATTGGTGAGTGCAGATCTCGATAAGAAAATCTGAGTCCAAAATGCCAACAATTATACTCAAAAGAACAGAAGAGACAATTAAGGGGCAAGGACAGTAGCATGCTATAAATGAATCAGCCAGAATGGAATTCAAGAGGATGCGGACACAGTAGGAAAACATAGCCAACGTCACACAGTACAATTTGTGTATCTAAAATGGGAACTTAATTTGCTGTGTAAATAATCACAAAGTACATAATAAAATTTCTTTTTTAAAATCCAGCTTTATTTGTCCTCCAGCCTTTAATCAATTATGACTGAATGAAATTTTGGATTACTGCTACATCTTCTGTTGCTTCTAGGTAATGAAAAGTCCAAGAATCCCTTTAACTTCTGTACCACTTAGTGTCATTCAATTATTAAATAAGCTCAATTGTTGGATAATAATTAAAACTCTGCACTGGATTTAACGTTGAATCTTATCTCCTGAATTTGCTGCAACAAAAGGCTTGTGGATCGAGAAAGAAGTAGTTTTCATCTCTTTTCTCATAATTGTGGAGTGGCAAAAATCTATGGACAAGATGTGAATAGGTTTAAATACATAGAGATTTAATTTTATTATGTAGAGTGCTGAACTGAGCAAACTTTGTATATGCTGTGGAGGAAAGTTGTTTTCTACATAAAAAAACGGAGTGTTCGCAATACATCATCGTCTTTTCACTTCAGTTCATTTTGAACATATTTCCCATATAGCATAGGACGATTCGCTCCAGCCAGTTACTTTCATACCAGAAAAAGCAAAAGAAAAAAATTACTTTAGTGATAGCAATTATAATCTAACATAAAATTTTGCTATAGAATAAAATGATTAATTGCTTCTTTCCATAATGAATAGTATAAAAATTATACCTGGAGCATAAGTTCTACCCACAATGTGACCCTAAATTAAAGTCTTAGCCAAATGTCTGCTTTCCAGCAAAAAATGAACATTGAGGAAGTAGCATTATTTTTT